TCGGAGCAGCCGCTCGGCTGCAATGGATGCAGGAGGGGAGCAGAAAGCATCAGCGTTGAGGAAAGCGGTGCCACCAGCACTGAGACTCCGGCTCGATGCGACCTATTCACTGACACGAGAGCCTGAGCAACCAGGACATGACCGCTATCCCCCGCCGAGCCGCCGGGACCCCGAGCCCACCATCGCAGGGATCGCACACGCGGCTGAGCAAGCAAGAGCTGGTCAAAAGCAGAGGGAGTCACCTCCCTGGCATTAAATCCAACTTGCAACAGGGGAAATCTGCATTTCACTCCTCGGTTCTTGTCTTCTTGAGGCCCTGGTGCCTTTCCACCGTGTCCCCCTGTGGCAGCCAAACCCCAGCACCCACCAGGACGCACTGGTCCCGTGGGGCCGGAGCCCCGGGCTCGCTGCTCCCACTCCCCGCTCCCGCCCGTCTGCAGCGAGGTAAGTGGGGCATGGCACAATTTCCCACACAGCTGCTAACAACACCGGCCCCTTGCTCTTTCCTAACATTTTCATAGATAAAATTTCTTTTTGCTAGGGAGGTCGGAGCTGGCGCGAGGGAGTTTCTGCTTTCTGCTTTCAACCCTGTCAACTTGTGCCTAATGGAAATTATAATTCATCCGAAATTGCACTAGAAACACAGCATTTCCATCTCCTCCTCGCTGCTGCTAAATGACACGATGTTGAAGGGTGCTTGATGCATAGGAAACTTCCCAAAAGCACGCGCCTTCTCTTGAAAATGAGCCGATTCATTAGGCAGAGAAAGCAGCGGCTGGAGACAGGGAGCTGAACTGCTTGGTTCTGGTCACCATGTCCTGGGGGGGGGAGTGGAAAAAAAAAAAAAAAAAATCAGACCAAGCAGGTCTCATCCTCCAATGCTTTGTTTTTATTCACTGATGAGAGACGGGAGGAAGAAGCCCCCAAGGAAAAAGCCCTCCAAGGTTTCTTGCTGTCCCTGGTCCCCAGCTCGCTTCTCGGGGTGCAGGAAGGTCTCCCAGCGTGGTGAGACCAGGGGGACCCATCACTCCACCCGCTCTGCTTCTCATGCTCTTCCCTGGCCCCTTGCTGCTGGAGGTGGGACAGCAGACAGGCCAACCTGCCGCTCCAACCCAGGCATCCATTTCCATCCTGGGCCTTCCCAAGCAGGTTAATATGGACACGGCTTGCTTTTGGGGCTTCACCGAGTGACCTATCTCAGGATCTAGAGCAGTGGAGAAGAGCCTGTTACGCGACCTCAGCAACACCAGCATCCTGACCAAGTATTATTTTTACTGCAGTGTAAAATATGTTACTGGATTCAGTGGTTTTAGGTAAGGCTAACAATAGCCTCAGGATCTGACGCAGGCTGTCCGAAGCCCACACTCCCTGCAGACGCTCGCACTACACGCGTTACACGAAATAACGCCACTACTTCGCAGCAGCAGCAACACCATCTCTTACCCAGACAAGGGTCACGCCGCCTGGTCCGGGAGATCCCTCCGCCACCGCCTTTAGCCTTCACACTGCCCCAGCTCCCTGCAAGCCCCCAATGCAGGTTCAACCCCAGCCCCGCAGGATGCGGCTCTTCCCGAGCCAAGCCCAATGCTCGGCCCCAGCCCGCGTCTCCCCACGCCCCGGCTCTGCCTCCTCCTTTGAGCACGCAGGATCCGGGCAGGACCTGGGCAGGCACGGCATGCAGAGACGCTGCCTGGCGGCTGGGTGGGCGATACCCCCGCAGACCCGGAGCCGGTGGGAGAGGAGGCTTCCCATGGCCGTCCCCGGGCGCTCGCCCAGCACCGCAAAAACACATGCATGGTCGGCAAGGAAAAGAATCAGACTGACGCTGCAGCTGCAGAGCTACCGGCCCGGGCAGGTCCTGGCAAACAGCCAGGTGCCTGCAGCCAGGCGGGCGGATACCCCCGCAGACCCGGAGCCGGTGGGAGAGGAGGCTTCCCATGGCCGTCCCCGGGCGCTCGCCCAGCACCGCAAAAACACATGCATGGTCGGCAAGGAAAAGAATCAGACTGACGCTGCAGCTGCAGAGCTACCGGCCCGGGCAGGTCCTGGCAAACAGCCAGGTGCCTGCAGCCAGGCGGGCGGCCCCACGGCTCCTCCCGGGCAGGGAGGCGTGGGAGCAGGGAACCCCACGGAGGGACGCCCCGGCTCAGCATCCTCCACCGAGGCCAGGTCCCCAGCCGGGGGCACGACGGAGCTGGCCGGCGTCGCATGGGGCTACCGCGAGAGCTGGGGCAAGGCAGCAGCTCGCTTTCCCTGTGCTCTGCCCAGCGGGTCTGCTGGAGCGGGAACTGGTAAAACCCAAAGGAAGACGCCAGAGCTGGGGAATATCAGGTTTTTGAGGAGCACGGTGGGCAGCTTGCAGAGCCAGCACAGCCAGGAGATGGCACAGCACCGTGAGCTGAGACTGGTACTGGCCAGGGAGCTGCACACCCGCGCAGAGGACGCGCGGAGCCTTTCCCGGTGTCTGTCAGGGAGAAAAGCCCCTGCCTGTCCTCCCCTCGCTCTGCCTTGTCCGCATGGAGAAAAGAGCTGCCGAGGACAAAGCTGGAGCAGCGCCGGCGTCTCACTCCTACACCTGTGGCCACCGAATCGGCGCTCCCCATCCCAACCCAGAGCCGTCCCCGGCCGGGCAGCCAGCGCGCTTTCAGCGCAAGCAGCAAAGCTCAGCGACAAGGCAGGGACTCCAGGGGCTAAAACAAAAGAGAAGATAAAAATAAATGAAGAAACAGGGCTTGAAAGAGGCCGCAGGGTTACAGCTCAGCCAGGGAGCATCCTGCTCCTCCCAGCAGCCCGGCAGCAAAGAAGAGGGGCTAGCCTTCGCCTTCGCGCACAGGCTGTCGCGGCTTCCCGGCATGCACCGTGCCTGCTGCTTCCTGGCTGCCTAACGAGGCTTCAGAGCGTAAATAGCGGCATTGTTTCGCAGGGCTGCCTCGCTGGGGTCT